ACACACAGAAGAACGTACGCCATTCCGTTCGGCCTGAGATGCATTCGCTTTCAGAGGTTGGGGGGAAGAACTGACACCCGTCCTGAACTTAAAAATAAATTAATGCTACATGCAGAGTTAGCGTGTGACCACGAGGAAGTCACGATGGGAGGAGAAGAGGAACATGGCAGCTGTCCATAGTCTTTGCAGTTAGATGTAGGTGGCAAGTTAGATGCAGTGACAGTGGCCTCCTCCCTCACATGTGAGTTAAAGAGAAAACTACTGGCTGCTGCTAGAGACAAGAAAGAACAGTTTCTCTGCAGGGCATTTATGGAGCATGAGCAGTGCTGCTCCTCGGGGTCTCTGGGGAATCCGCAGACCATGTGACATGAAGCGACTGCTGAGAGCTTTGAAAGCATCGATTACCTCGCCAGGCGCCCGAACAGCCCTGGCGCTTTGTGTTCTGCGTTTGCATTTCAGGCAGACGCCGCTGATTAAACCTGCCCCGTCCTGCAGACGGAACACCGTCCCGGCCGGCCGTCGGATGTCAGCGAGCAGAATTTCAGCTCAGATCACTTACAAATGCCCTGACCCTTGGCTTTCTGTTCTCTGCTTCCTTTTACGAAGTGCAGTGCTTGCGCTGCACCTCTCTGCCGCTTTGAAGAAGTGGAGGCTGGCTTTTTGGTTGGCTGCACTCTTGAATAAGCAAGTGTGCTAAATGGATTTCCAGTGCCTATTTCGGTCAGCACTCTGAGCTGCGCTGGGTGCCTGGTGCCATGATGTCCCGTGGTCACTTCTGTGGCTGACTCCACAGACCGAGAACGCTGTCTGTCCAGGTGGCATGTGCGTCTCTCCGGGCCACAGAGCACTGAGTACCTGCTGGCTTCTCAGTGGAAATTTATTCCAGGGTTCAAAGATGCTGGCGAGCCCAGGGGTCCCAAGGCTCACTTCCTGTTTTCACTCATGCGGCGTGAGAACGGCTAGGCAGAGAAGCCCCTGAGACCGCCCTCTCTAGAGGGCAGCCCTCCGTGCCCCTCCTGGTGTCTCCTCCGTGCTCTTTGCTCCTCGCCTGGTGCTCTTCCCTGGGGATGCAGACGCCCAGCTCCAGGATGGCTGGTCTGTGGTGCACCATCCCCAGCGCCAGCACACAGTAGGCAGATAGATCCAGGGGGGTTGAGGGGAATGGGAGAAGCCAGGATGGGTCCGGGGTTTTGAACTTGTGGGGAGATGGCATTGGCATCACACGCAGGACTAGGGAACGTGAGGCGGGAGCAGGCCCGAGATGGGAGGTCCGTTTCCTTCCGGATGTGCGGCCGTGAGGAGGCCTCTGACGGGGAAGCCAGGCAGGTGGGAAGCTCCCAGGCCTAACATTGGGGCATCTTTTGCAAAGTAGTGTGTAAAGCCTCGAGACTGCATCGGAGGGGCCAAGAGCGTGACGGAGGAAGGAAGGGAAATAGCAGAGAGCAAAATTTTGGGGAAATAGCTCTGTCAGACAATTAGGAAGAAAAGCCAAAGAAAGAACAGAAGCAGGCGGGAGAAGCAGGAGTGGACAGCGCTGGGAACAGGGGAGCTGCTCAGGAAGGAGAGTCGAGGTGGTCTGTCCCGGAAAGAGCCTGCTGTGCTCCCGCGACGCTCGTCTCCTCGCCGTGGCGCCCATTATTCTAGGGCGCTGTTCCACGCAGTTCTTTTAAAAATTATTTTTTAAAATACGTGGTTTTTTTTTAAGAGAAAGAAACATTGATGTGAGAGAGAAACATCGATCAGCCGCCTCCTGCACGCCCCCTACTGGGGATCGAGCCTGCAACCCGGGCACGTGCCCTGACTGGGAATCGAACTGGGACCATAGTCTGCGGGGCAGTGCTCAGTCCACTGAGCCACACCGGCTGGGCTGGCATAGTTCTTTGCACGTCGTAGGTTATGACAGTTCAGCGTAGTATATCGTTAGGGGCTCATGGCTGTCACCTGCCTGTCTGACAGGGGCGTTCGCAGGGAGCTGTGACTGCAGGCTCGGGGTGCTGTGGCGCCGTCTGGCTGCCGGGCATGCCATGTGCTGCGAAGATTTAAGCCCAAGTTGTCGAGTCAGAACCCTCTGTGCCGCAGTCTTGACCTTCCCTCTTTTTATGTTCGAAGTAGTGAACGTCCCAGTCAGCCATCAATGAAGGGTCTCAGAGTGCAGGAGGGAGACAGTGGTGGAGCCTAGCATTTAGCTAAGTGCTTGTGTTTTTGTCTTAACACTGTTTAGCTTTGTAGCTTATGGATTGTTTTAGACTTGTCTTCAGAGAATATTGATATTTATCCATTTGGTAGGTGCTTTCAGAAAATAAATAGGAAACTAGAAAGAAAATAATTTGCTACAAGTACAGGAAGACTATCAAAAAACTGAAGCTGTGCCCTGGCTGGTCTTGCTCAGTGGTTAGTGTCGGCCTGCGGGCCAAAGGGTCTCGGGTTCGATTCCTGATCAAGGGCACATACCTGGGTGGCAGGTTTGATCCCCCAATTACGGCTGGAGGCAACCAATCCATGTGTCTGTGTCACATCGATGTTTCTCTCTTCTTCTTCCCCACCCTCCCTTCCACCCATCCAAAAACCAATGGAAAATGTCTTCGGGTGAGGATTAACAACAGCAAAACTGAAGCCGGTGTGTTGGCATCTGGTTGGAAAGAGTCAGCGGCAGGCTGGAGAGAGGTGCTCACGAGGTGCAGCTCTTACCCAGCAGGCGGGGCGGGGCGGGGCGGGGCGGGGCGGGGGGGGGCGGGGCCGAGGCGACTCCACAGGTACCTGGAAAAGGAAAGTCTGTGTCAAAGACGTCTCGGAGGCCATCAGATCTGACCGTGAATTTACTTGAGACTTTATATCCCGCTTATATGACAAGAAAGACTTTTGAATGCACAGATATTAATTATTGAGGCAAGAGAAAGCAGGTGTGATCAGTAGCTGTTTTGGTTACCACGTTATCTGGAGCATCTCTGCCTCGTCTTGTGTGACAGTTCTCATTAAAGCTGAAGATTGCTGCTTAGAGGGTAGACCTAAGCGTGGAGATGTTATCAGGTGTGTGACATGGGTGCCGTGGGGGGCCTTGACCGCACCCATTAAAGGGAGGCTCTGAGAATAAAGTTAACTCATTGTTGAAACAGAGTGGCAGCTCACGCACTTAGACATTGTTACATTGTTTGGACGTAACATTTCACTGTTGGACAGGAAGAGGAGTTGTTTTTGTAAAACTTAACCCCTTTAAGGTCTGAATTAGTGAAAATGTGTGTGAGGTCTGGATATTTAAATAGTCTTTTCTATTGATCATTTTAATTTTATGAGTGTTATTTTTTTTTAAATCTAGAATAACTTGAGCAAAGCAGGAAATAACATATTTTGCTTTTCTAACATTTCTTTTCCCTTATGAGTTGAGTGGTTATGGCAGTGTACAAGTTCTTGTACTTGTTTATTCGTTGAATCCTCTTATCTGTCATCCTGAAAAAGTAAGTTTATCTATGTTAGTCTATGCTCAGAGTTATTAGGCCTGCTTAATTTAAGATTCAAAGCCTTAAAATATGTTACTGCTAATATTTCTTTCTTATTTACTATGCAACATCTATTTGAGTGGAAGGACTGGGACTGGACTTAGTGGACCCAGCAGCCTTTCTGCCATTATCTTTGTATCGTTAGTGGGATGTTAGGGCGAAAGCAGTTTCTGAAGCCCTTCTGTGAACGAAGATGATGTCATGGGGTGTAGCTGACCCTTGAAAACCGCAGGGTTAGAGGTGCCTGTGAGCACCGACCCCCGCAGTCGAGAATCTGTGTATGACTTGGACTCCCCATAAACGTAACCACTTATAACCTGCTGTTGACCAGAAGCCTTACTGATAACACGTTTTGTATCTTATATAGTTTATTCTTTTTATTTATCCATTTTTATTGTTTTTAATCCTCACCTGAGGATATTTTTCCATTTATCTTCAGATAGAGTGGGAGGGAGGGAAGGAGGAGGGAGAGACAGAGAGAAAGAAACATCGATGTGAGAGGGACGCATAGATTGGTTGCCTCCCACATGACCCAACCGGGCCAGGGACAAAATGCAACCGAGCTACGTGCCCTTGACTGGAATCGAACCTGCGGCTCATTGGTCCGAGGGCCGATGCTCTAATCGCTGAGCAAAATGGCCAGGGCCTTTTTTTTTTTTTTTAATCCTCACCTGAGGACATTTTTCCATTTTTTGTTCAGATAGAGTGGGGGGGGGGAGAGAGAGAGAGAGAAACATCGATGTGAAAGGGACACATCGAGTGGCTGCCACCCGCACGACCAACCAGGGCCGGGGACAAACTGCAACCGAGGTACGTGCCCTTAGCGGGAACCGAACCCGGGTCTCTCTGGACTGCAGGCCGATGCTCTAACCACTGAACCAAACCGGCCAGGGCTGGCCAGGGCCTTTTTTAAATCCTCACCCGAGGATATTTTTCCATTGATTTTTTTTTTAAGTGGAAGGGAGGGAGGGGGAAAGAGAAACATTGATGTGAGAGGGACACATCGACTGGCTGCCTCCTGAGCTGGGACCGGGGATTGAACCTGCAAACCAGGTAAGTACCCTTGACCAGGAATCACACTCGTGACCCTGCAGTCCACCAGCTGACGCCGTAACCGCTGAGTCAAACTGGCCGGGGCTACATGCTGTATTTTTACAGTGAAGTAAGCTAGAGAAAAGAAGATGTTAAAGTCATGGGGAGGGGAAATAAATACATTTACCTTCCTTATACATTTATTGCGAAACAAATCCGCATTGTGTGGGCACACACCGTTCAGACCCGTGTCGTTCAGGGGTCGGGGGACGTAATTCTGCCAGCAGCACAGCTCGTTCTTTCGTCCTCCCTAGTTCACATGTCTATGATCACGTCGACCCGGAAAGTGTATTTGAGGAGGGTCCTTATTCATGTACTTCGATGTTCGTATATTGCATGGCCAGTGAATTGAGTACATTTCAGATGAATAATTTCACCTGCCTGTCTAATGAACGCACTTCTGATCACTTGTAGGCGGAACCTGACCAAACTGTCCCTGATCTTCAGCCACATGCTGGCCGAGCTGAAAGGGATCTTCCCGAGTGGACTCTTCCAAGGAGACACCTTCCGGATCACGAAAGCGGACGCGGCGGAATTTTGGAGGAAAGCTTTCGGGGAAAAGTAAGTCTCGGAATCAGGCATCGGAGCCGTGGGCTCGGAGCTGGGCCTGCATGTGAGTGCTTCGGTGCTTTCATTACTACTTAAACGTGGGAAACCAGTAAGATCAGGACTGTGTGTGTAAATATTACCCAGCTTTGGTAAATAGTAACTTTTCTGGTCCTTTATTTATTTTTAAATGTTTTTTATTGATTTTTTTTTTAAGAGAGAGGAAGGGAGAGAGATGGAAGCATCCATGTGAGAGAGAAACATCGACTGGCTGCCTCCTGCACGCCCCCTACTGGGGATTGAGCCTGAAACCTGGGCATGGGCCCTGACCGGGAATTGAACCCGGACCTCTCAGTCCACAGGACGACCCTCAATCCACTGAGCCACACTGGCTGGGCTGTTCTTTTTGTTTGTGTGTGTGTGTGTGTGTGTGTTTTTAAAGAAATAAGCCTTTGTAGAGTCTGTTGAAACCCGTGCTCTTTGACTGAGTCCTCTTCCTCTCCCTACCCATGATGCTTTTCATTGACATACACATTTCAAATGATTCGCTGCTGCAGATAGTGCTACGGGAACAGGGTTGTGTTTGTCTTCATGTGCCAGGGTTGGTCCTTGTTTACCTCCCAGGAATGGGATTGCGAGCCGGGAGTCCCGTCCTCTGGTTTGTCCATCTTGCCTGGTTGCTTTCCAAAGGGGCCGGACCAGTTCATAAGTAGTGCACGTGAATTCCTGGAGCTCCGCATGGCTGACAGTGGGATGGGCTGCTGTCCCGCTGTGCTCTTGTGTTCCTAACCACATGGGAGACTGAGCATCTTTTCACATTTGCGACTGGTCAGGGTTCTTTTTTATTTAATCCTCACCCGAGGATATTTTTACGTTTATCTGCAGACATAGTGGGGGGGGGGTCGATTGGTTGCCACCTGCATGACCCTAACCAGGGCTGGGAACGAACCGCAACCGAGGTATGTGCCTTTGGTTGGAATCGAACCCGGGACTCTGGTCTGCGGGCTGATGCTCTAACCACTGAGCAAAACTGGCCAGGACATGACTAGTCAGGATTCTTTTTTTTTTTTTTTATCCTCACCCGAGGATATTTTTCCATTTTTTGTACAGATAGAGTGGGAGGGAGAGAGAGGAACATCGATGTGAAGGGACACATCGAGTGGCTGCCACCCGCACGACCAACCAGGGCCGGGGACAAACTGCAACCGAAGTACGTGCCCTTAGCGGGAACCGAACCCGGGTCTCTCCAGACCGCAGGCCGACGCTCTAACCGCTGAGCCAAACTGGCCAGGGTGTAGTCAGGATTCTTATTCTGACTTGCCTGTTGCCCTTCCTTCTCCAACTTTCCTATTGAGTTGTCTTTCTCCTCCAGCAAGGTACTAATTCTTTATTACATTACATGTACGTTCTCCTGTCTATGGCTTGTCTTTCCACTTTGTTATATTATCTTTTGAAATACAGAAGTTTTAAATTACATGGACAGATTCATGAGTCAGGCTTGTGCTTTTAAGTATTAATATAAGTGTTTTGATATGTCTGAAATTTTGGATCAAAGAACTAAAAAAGGTAGAACGCAATACAATTTTTCATTTGAATATATAGATCCTAATGTAAATCTCTTTAAATGCCACCTTTATATTTTTTAAATCACATTTACATACAAAATATAGAATAATCAGGGCTGTACAAACCTGAATTGAAGGGGATGTGAGTGAGTTTAACTCTGTTCCTGTAACTTAATGACGACATTAGAAGAGTTCCGGACACCACCTGCCTTTTCTGGCAAGCAAATACGTTGGCGTTTCAAAGGCTGTGCTTCTGTTAAAGATCTTAATGAAGAGAAATCCCGTAACATCTCTTGCTAGTCTTATCTGGGGTTTAATCTCCTGTCCAATCAGTGCTCTCTCATCTGCATGAGAACTCTGTTCTTCCTGCACCGTAAGCGTGTTTCCTCTAGCCCTCGACGGTGTGGGCTCCTCAGAGAACTCGTGATGTTTTACATGGTTTCACACAGTTAGTTTAAACACAAGCTTTCAGCTAGTGAAGGTCTGGCCACAGATCACATTTGTTCCGTAAAGAGACTGTCATCTCTCAGTACTTCTAGCAGAACGAATGTCTGCAGAGAGATGAGAAAGGAGATGACTCTGTGACACTGCCAGGGAACAGTGGGGGAGCTTTCTCGTTACTCATTCACACGTTAGACAGTAAGAAATCTGTCATTGACCCCCTTTCTGTTCTCGGCCCGAAACATAGCTCTGCTTCTTTAAGAGAATTGAATTGGTCCTGAGAGCTCACTGTGGCTGCTTTGCCTTGGTGATGGCAACACCCAGAACTGCCTGTCTCATTCTGTTCCTTCCCACCCCCAGGACAATAGTCCCGTGGAAGAGCTTCCGGCAGGCCCTTCACGAAGTGCACCCCATCAGTTCCGGGCTGGAGGCCATGGCTCTGAAGTCCACCATTGATCTGACCTGCAATGATTACATTTCAGTTTTTGAATTTGACATCTTCACACGACTCTTTCAGGTATGATGCTAAGAAGTTGGTTAAAGTAGTTATTGCTGCTTTTCTGAACAGAAAGTTTTACAAAATAACCTTTGGGATTTTCCCTATTATAAAAGTATTTCTAGCCCTGGCCGGTTTGGCTCAGCAGTTGGAGCATCAGCCTGAAGACCAGAGAGTCCCAGGTTCAGTTCCCGCTAGAGGCACGTACCAAAAAAAAAAAAAGTATTTCTATTTATTCTAGAAACTATAAGCAAAAAAACCAAGAATGATTACAACTACTTTTTATTTCCTAGTTACATACAGATATGTATGTGCACATGCAGTATTTTTTTTTTTGGTAAAAATAGTAACTATACAATCTGCTTTCGTACCTTCACATTTACCATCTTCCTTTGCTATTAAACAATCCTGCATCATTTTTTTTATTTTTTTATCCTCACCCGAGGACATTTTTCCATTTTTTGTACAGATAGAGTGGGAGGGAGAGAGAGGAAGAGAGAGAGAGAGAAACATCGATGTGAAAGGGACACATCGAGTGGCTGCCACCCGCACGACCAACCAGGGCCGGGGACAAACTGCAACCGAGGTACGTGCCCTTAGCGGGAACCGAACCCGGGTCTCTCCGGACCGCAGGCCGACGCTCCAACTGCTGAGCCAAACTGGCCAGGGCACAATCCTGCATCATTTTAATGGTTGTAGCATGTCTGGAAAATGGGTGTACAGTCCCTGCTACATACCAACAGGGATCTGTTCCGAGAAGGGTGTTAGGTAGTTTCATCCTGTGCAGACCTCACAGGGGCACTTGCACAAACCAGGTGCAAGCCCACGGCTCACCTGGGCTGTGGGCTGAGCCTGTGGCTCTGAGGCCGCACACCTGGGCTGTGGGCTGAGCCTGTGGCTTCAAGGCTGCACAACTGGGCTGTGGCTGAGCCTGTGGTTCCGAGGCTGCACACCTGGGCTGTGGCTGAGCCTGTGGCTCCGAGGCCATGCACCTGGGCTGTGGGCTGAGCCTGTGGCTCCGAGGCCGTGCACCTGGGCTGTGGGCTGAGTCTGTGGCTCCGTGGCTGCTCACCTGGGCTGTGGGCTGAGTCTGTGGCTCCGAGGCCGTGCACCTGGGCTGTGGGCTGAGTCTGTGGCTCCGCGGCTGCTCACCTGGGCTGTGGCTGAGCCTGTGGTTCCGAGGCTGCACACCTGGGCTGTGGGCTGAGTCTGTGGCTCCGCGGCTGCTCACCTGGGCTGTGGCTGAGCCTGTGGTTCCGAGGCTGCACACCTGGGCTGTGGCTGAGCCTGTGGCTCCGAGGCCGCACACCTGGGCTGTGCTTCTGTAAACCGGCAGCACCGGCAGCCCTGCAGGCACGGGAGTGATGCGCTCCTCCACTGTGTCCTCATGGCTGTGGTGTTACTGGTGAGGGGACGCTTTTAGCTCCATTATAACCTCAGCGGGACCACCGTGGTACGTGTGGCCAGTCACTGGCCAAAAGTCATGCGGTGCGTGGCTGTAATATGATGTATTGAATCCATTCTCCAGTGTCGGACACTCGTGCTTCCAACTTCCTCTTACTGTATTGAAGTTCTCGGCCGTTACTGTTCAGATGTAACACTGCTCGAAAGGGCTCGGCTTTCTTTTCCCAAGGATCAGGTGCGCCGACTGCGTGAACCTTCGCTCGGAATGCCCTAGTTGCCCACGTGGCCCTGCCTTGTTCTGTTCTTTTGTTAGGGGTGGTTTAACCCACTGCTATTAGCTGGAACTGCTTTAAGCTTTTTTTTTTATCCTCACCTGAGGACATTTTTCCATTTTTTGTTCAGATAGAGTAGGAGGGAGAGAGAGAGAGAGAGAGAGAGAGAAAGAAACATTGATGTGAAAGGGACACATCAAGTGGCTGTCATCCACACAACCCAACCAGGGCCGGGGACAAACTGCAACCAAGGTACGTGCCCTTAGCGGGAACCGAACCCGGGTCTCTCGGGACCGCAGGCCGACGCTCTAACCGCTGAGCCAAACCGGCCAGGGCTGCTTTAACATTTTTTGCATTTCTTTTTGTCAAGTTGAGTTTTCCCCATAAGGATATATTTGTTTCTTCTTAGCTTTTCCAAGTTCTTATCTCCCAAACATATTTGTCTTTCCCCCTAGTGACAATGTGATGGAAAACTTGTGACCACAAATGGAGAATCTAGCACTGAGAACCCAGGTTCTCTGTCGCTCCGAGACTGGCTGTATGTCTGGAGCCGTGGTCTGACTGACCTCTTGTTTCCGCAGCCCTGGTCCTCTCTGCTCAGGAACTGGAACAGCCTCGCTGTGACTCATCCCGGGTACATGGCTTTCCTGACCTACGACGAAGTGAAGGCCCGGCTGCAGAAGTTCATCCACAAGCCTGGCAGGTCAGTGCTGCGAAGCGAGGAGGCGCGGGAAGCAGGGTCCCGGCAGCTCCCCGGCGGCGTTTCTGGGGCTGGTGTATCACAAGGGCTGCCTCACTCACATGTGACGACTGGATAATGCTTTCAAGCCACTTCGGAGCTGGGCTTAGGTGTCTTGCTTTTTGGTCTGGAGTCATCAAAGAATTTATCACTGACGGCCCTTTCAGTGTTTGTCCCTGTCTTGCCTCCGACCCCACTGTGAGCTTGTTACGCATTACAGACTCTGCTTGTCTCTGTCCCAGCTACATTTTCCGGCTGAGCTGCACGCGCCTGGGCCAGTGGGCCATCGGGTACGTCACTGCCGACGGGAACATCCTGCAGACCATCCCGCACAACAAGCCCCTCTTCCAGGCCCTGATCGACGGCTTCAGGGAAGGCTTGTGAGTACCTGCTGCCCCGCCGCAGGAGCTAGGAGCCGAGCGGCTGTGACCCTCCGCCAGTGGTGGCTTCAGGTTTCTTCTGCAAATGAGGATTCAAGAAGCACGTTTCCACGGTCACACTGTTGTGACCTTCAGACCCTGTAGGCATTCTGCTCTTATTTCAGAGGAATTCCTTGGGTGAAAGCAGTTTTCTCTCCTGCTTCACTTATCACTGAGTGAGCTGTATCGTTTTCCTTTTCCAAATGTTAACTGATTTTCAAGTCTAGGTTAGATTCAAAATCATACCAATGAGTGCCCGGCCAGTGTGGCTCAGTGGTTGAACATGACCCCTGCACCAAGAGTCACCAGTTTGATTCCCGGTCAGGGCACATGCCCAGGTTGTGGGCCCGATCCCCAGTGGGGGGCGTGCAGGAGGCAGCCAATCCATGTTCTCTCTCATTGATGTTTTTATCTCTTCCTCTCCCTTCCTCTCTCTCTAAAATCAATAAAGAACACATATTTTAAAAAATTAAAAAATTATACCAATTAGCAGGAAATGTTACCAGTTATTTCACCAACCAGCTTTAGAGCGATTAGGTGCTGGCTCCTAAGGACAGCAGGCTCCAGGGCGTTCGCCCTGACGTTGCTTTGCTTCGGCAGCATCTCTGAAGGCTTCGGGCTTCGTGCAGAACGCTAACATTTATGACAAGCTCTGATTTATTGCAGAATTGCTATTCCTTTGGGAATTCAAATTGATTGTCATTTGGTGAGCACTGAAGGTGCTTAACAGTTGACCAGATACCAGAAAACGACTTGTATTGTCAGGCGATGAGGACAGTCCATGGCCATCGCGCCCCTCTCCTGCAGCAGCTTTGGAGACACGCCCCCTCCCCGATGTCAGGGCACTTTGATGCTGGAAGCTGCCTGGCGGGGGTGGGCCTTAAGAGGCTCAATTGGCTTCTTGTTCCATTTCTATGAAATTGGTGTCTCTCAGTGTTACATCTGTAAACAAGGGTATTTCAGATGTTCGGTCGGAAGTAAATGCAGTTAAACAAGGAATTTATACTCACAGCCAACTGGCCCATAGGCCGGCTGTTTTGCATATTATTTTCTTTTTAAAGTTATTTAAAACAAAAACACATGTGACATAGACTTGATGGGTTGCAGTCTGTCTACTTGCTGTCAGGCCCTCACAGAAGAAGTCTGTCAACTTCTTGATTAAAAGATGGAGCCTGTGGCGTGTGCCTGGAGAAGGAGGATCAGTGTTAGGGCCCAGTCAGTGTGGCTCAGTGGCTGAGCGTCGACCCTGCACCAAGAGCTCGCCGGTTCGATTCCCAGTCAGGTTACCTGCCCGGGTTGTGGGCCAAATCCCCAGTGGGGGGCACGCAGGAGGCAGCCAATCCATGTTCTCTCTCATCGATGTTTCTATCTCTCTCCCTCTCCCTTCCTCTCTCTCTCAAATCAATAAAGGGGGAAAAAAATAAAGAGTTAAAAGAAAAAAAGAAAGAATATCAGTGTTAGGAGAATATCCCCTTGGACCTGTTCTGCGTGTGTGTTTTCGAAATATTAGTAAGATTTGTCTTCGCACTTTTGCAAAGCGGCCCTCCTGCGGGCGGGAGCTCCTAGACGCCGCGTGTCTGCGGCCGCGAGCCACGGCAATGGCCTCAGCAAACCCCAGGTTGCTTGCTCTTTTTATAGCTACTTGTTTCCTGATGGGCGGAACCAGAATCCCGATCTGACGGGCTTATGCGAGCCGGCTCCCCAAGACCACATCAAAGTGACGCAGGTGAGCCTCATCCCCGTTGACCGCACCGCTGGAACCAGGCTCAGCGTGGCTCCCGGGAGCTGCAGCAGTGTCTCAACGATCAGAACACGATTTAAACCACTGACCAGATTAGCGAGTTTATGTTGCCCGTGGTTTCTCTTCAAACTGAGCAGCTTAAAATAGGAGCAGGACGAGGTGGTGCGTGTGGTGGGAGGACACAGCGCTGCTGCGAGACTGCTGTGCAGCGGCGGCCGTGCTCGGCTCTCCGCTTGCGTCCCGGCTGCCGCGTCCTCCTTGGGCCGACCCGCGGCCGCCCAGTGACCCCGCCCTGCGCTTTCCCCGCAGGAGCAGTACGAGCTGTACTGCGAGATGGGCTCCACCTTCCAGCTCTGCAAGATCTGCGCCGAGAACGACAAGGACGTCAAGATCGAGCCCTGCGGACACCTCATGTGCACGTCCTGCCTGACGTCCTGGCAGGTGTGCGTCTCTGAGAGCGGGGTGCGGGGCAGACGGCAAACCTGTGCTTTGTCCCCTTTTCACCTCCTAGTGGCCAGATAGTCCAGGTCCTTTCAGACGTGTCTGTCGTCCTTCTGTTTCCTCTGCAGGAGTCAGAAGGCCAGGGCTGTCCTTTCTGCCGATGTGAAATCAAAGGCACGGAGCCCATCGTGGTGGATCCGTTCGACCCCAGAGGGAGTGGCAGCCTACTGAGGCAAGGGGCCGAGGGCGCACCCTCCCCAAACTACGATGACGACGACGACGAGCGGGCCGACGACTCCCTCTTCATGATGAAGGAGTTGGCTGGTGCCAAGGTGAGTCTGAGCGCGAGAGACGTGGCCAGTGCCACCGGGTACACTCTGAAACCAGGGAACACTTAGTGGCATCCCAGTTGCGAGGGTCACAGTAGGGGCGCCGTGCTGCCTTTCTGGTTTTCACTCACAGCCTGAGTGGTGCTGTTACTGTCCTCATTCAGAGAGAGACTGGACACAGAGAGGCCCAGGAGTTTGCTGAAGGTCACACAGACAGGGTGTTGAACCAGAGTCTGTGGCCAGGCATCCTGGCTTCAAGGCTCCTGCTCTTATTGTCTGTACCCTACACTCGGCTTCACTCAGGCAGCTTGGTGGAGAAAATGAAGGGGAATAAAGAAGTGGACCCTATTTTGCTACTGTGACTGGAATATGTTGTTCTTTTTCCTAACAGTTTGGCATTAAAAAGTTAGGCCTGATGAGGAGAAAGGGTGCACTGTTAATAACCAAATAAGTGGCAGCCAAAGTGACCGGAGGGCGGGAGGAGGCACCGTGTAGAAACTGAACAACTGGGAAGGCTCCGGCTGAGAGAGGACGGGGTTGAATTCTGCTCCATCAGATGGCAGGGCAGAACGGGTTTATTCCCTAAATCATGCAAGTCAGTCAGTCGGTGGAGATTTCAGTGACTCTAGTATAAACAAAAGATTCTGATAGGCTACAGGTTGTCTAGTTTTAGAAGATAACGCATCATGGGCTGCATTTCCTTATACAAAAGAAGCTTGTTTTTATTTTTATTTTTTTTCATCTTCACCCGAGGACACTTTTGTATTTATCTTCAGATAGAGTGGGAGGAAGAGAGAGAAAGAGAGAGAAACATCGATGTGAAAGGGACACATCGAGTGGCTGCCACCCGCACGACCAAGGGCCCGGGACAAACTGCGACCGAGGTACGTGCCCTTAGCGGGAACCGAACCTGGGCCTGTCTGGTCCGCAGGCCGACACTCTAACTGCTGAGCCAAACCGGCCAGGGCAAAAGCTTGTTTTTATATCAGCACGTGACTGGCACATAGTAGGTGCTCAATGAACTTTAAAAGAATGGACTTTATCTCATAAGCAATTATATCCAGAGAAGCTGGAAGATGGCGGAGGAGTAAGAGGATCTTTCTACTGCCTCCTCCCAGAACCTGACTGGAATGAAAACACAGTTGGGGAAGAGTCACCCTGAAAGACCAGTTGAAGACTGGCTGGAGAGGAGACTTTTAAACAAGGAAGGAAACAAACCACCTTGAGCGTGGTAGGAAGGGTGAGGACGTGAGAGGTGCTGGTTCAGCTCTCAGGAGCAGTGGGCCAAGGGTGAGGAGGGTTCCCCCAGAGAGGAGAGAGGCTGGATCCCAGGCAGGGCCCCGCTCAGACAGCCAGAGCCGGGAATAGCTGCTCGTGCAGCAACCAGCAGTGTGGCTTCTATCAGCAGGGGAGCTGGGCCACCTGTAGACAAGGCCCCTCGTGTTAAAGGGCTGGTGCCCAGCGTTTTGCCTGCCACATGCACCCTCAGTTTCTGTGGAGGGAGGGTGTGCAGACTGACGTTGCCTGAGGAGAGACGGGTGGAGGGGTTCAGAGGAGTTGCGGGGAGGGCGGTTGCTGGGGTACCTATGCTGTCGCCCCACCCGCCATATAACAGCAGCCATTTTTCCTGAGAGACGCAAACCCCTCCCAGCAGCAGAAGCCCAGGAAAAGGCAGATACCCCGTACTCCTGGGGTACAGCTCGCCCCACCGGGCATCTCGGCCCCTGCTGAGGAGGCCACAGTCTCAGGGAACAGCAGTTCCAGGCAATGCCAGCGACTGGATTTGGGGCAGGGACTTTCTCCCCACATTCACGGGACCCTGGCTGGCGCTTCCCTCTCATGGGAGCGCTGACAGAAGCTGTTGGCTTCCGGCATATCCCACTGGCTGCCTCAGAGGGGCTCTGCTGGGCGAGGACAGAAAAGTGGTCTGGGAACCCTCACCATCTTCCCTGAAGTCTGAACGTTTGCTGACCTGTGTGAGGGCCCCCTAGTGGTGGGGAAAAAGGGCCTCCTACTGCTAAATAAAGCTGCCTGGGAGCTCAGCTTGTCCCGCCATGGGCAGCCACGCCCAGCAGGGGCTGACACCCGAACTTGGAGAGCTTCTCGCATTGGCTAGACAGGAGCATCTCCCGGGAGGCCCAGAATCAGCACACAGAACGGAGCCTCGGACAGCACCAGGGGCACCTCCCGGGAGGCCCGGAATCAGCACGCAGAATAGGGAGCCTCGGACAGCACCAGGGGCACCTCCCGGGAGGCCCGGAATCAGCACGCAGAACAGGGAGCCTCGGACAGCACCCAGGGGCACCTCCCAGGAGGCCCGGAATCAGCACGCAGAATAGGGAGCCTCGGACAGCACCAGGGGCACCTCCCAGGAGGCCCGGAATCAGCACGCAGAATAGGGAGCCTCGGACAGCACCCAGGGGCACCTCCCAGGAGGCCTGGAATCAGCATGCAGAACAGGGAGCCTCGGACAGCACAGCACAGAGCAGCATCCAGAGGGAAGTCCTTCACCCTTCCACAGCTTTCCATTTTACCGTTTCCCTTTTCCTACTCTTTATTCTTACTTTTTTTCAGAATCTTTTTTCTTCCCAGTTTTTCTTCTAGCATTTTATTTTTTAAAATGTTCTTCCTTTCTTTTCTATTTCATTCATTATTCTTGTTCTCTCTTCTCTTTCCTAATTTTCTTTTCCTTTGTGGCTGTTTTTGCTTTTGTTGTCAAGTTCTTTTGTGTGTTGTTGTTTATTTCCTGTTTTGTTTGGTTTCGTTTTGTTTTGTCCTGTCAGCGCCCCTACAGCAGTGTGCACAATGTGGTGGGGGTTGAGCCTCACAGTTAGACAGCCTGAGAGGAGATACCGCCCACGAACAAACAACAGTCAAGACGCAATTACAATAGGAGAGCCCAAATAACTCACAAAAGGGTCAGTCCTAGAGCATCCAGCTCAGGAGTTCAAGAAGACCACACCATGGCGTTCCGCAGGACATTTACTACAAAAGGCCAAGCTACAAAGACTGGGAGTCATAACAGGCATAGCTAATACATAGAAACAAACACAGAGAGGCAACTAAAATGGGGAGACAACCCCTAAAAGAAAGAAAAGGAGAAATTGTGGAGAAAGGATCTAAATGAAGTGGAGGTAAGCAATTTATCAGGCATAGAGTTTAGAGTAATGGTTATAAGGATTGCTCAAATAACTTAGTGACAAGGATAGGAACTTAATGGAAACTACAAGGAATGTGATGGGAACTACATCAACATGAAAAGGACTTAAAAACCACGAATAAGAACTAATCAGAGCCCTGGCTGGTTTGGCTCAGCAGTTGGTGTCTGCCCGTGGACTGAAGGGTCACAGGTTCGATTCCCAGTCAAGGGCACATGCCTGGGTTGCAGGTGCAATTCCTGGCCCTGGATGGGGTTGTGCAGGAGGCAACCAATTGATGTGTCTGTCTCACATCAATGTTTCTTTCTCCCTCCCTCCCTTTCTAAATATATATCTAAATATATATCTCAATGGAAATTGAGATACCTAAATATATATCTCAATGGAAAAATATCCTTGGGTGAGGATTTAAAAAAAAGAACCAATCGGAAATGAAGAACACTATACCTGACATCATGAATACACTGGAAGGAATTAAAGTCAGACTTGATGAGCAGAGGATCTAAGCAGTGATTTGGAAGACAGGATTGAAAAAACACTCAATTAGAGCATCAAAAATAATAAAACACTTAAAAAGCAGGAGAAGAGTTTAAAGAAACTTAGGGGCAACATGTAATGGAACAACATCTGCATCATTGTGTACTGGGGGGGGGGGGGGGGGAGAAAGTGAGCAAAGGATAGAGAACCTGTTTGAAAAAATAATGACAGAAAACTTCCCTAACCTGATGAAGGAAAAATTCACTCAAGTTCAGGGAACATGGAGAATCCCAATCAAGATGAACACAAACAGATGCCCACACTAAGACACATCATAATTAAAAAGGCAAATGTTAGAGACAAAGAGGTAATCTTTCTCTGGTTGGTTTGGCTCAGTGGTTAGAGTGTTGCCTCTGAAGACTGAAGGGTTGTGGGTTTGATTCTGGTCAAGGGCACATACCTGGGTTGCAGGTTTGATCCCCATCCCCAGTCAGGATTGTGAAGAAGGCAACCAATCAATATGTTTCTCTCACATCGATGTTTCTCTCTCTCCTTTACTCCTTCCCACTGTCTTTAAAAATCAGTGAAAAACGTCCTCAGATAAGGATTAACAAAAACAAAAGAGAGAGATGATCTTAAGGGCAGCAAGAGAGAGAGAAAGTCAGTAACCTACAAGGGACTCCCATAAGGCTGTCAGCTGATTTTTCACAGAAACACTACAGGACAGAAGGGAATGGCATGAAGTATTCAAAATAATGAAAAACAAGGATCTAAAACCAAGACTACTTATCCAGCAAGGCTATCATTTAAAATTGAAGGTGAAATAAAGAGCTTCCCAGACCAAAAAAAAAAAAAAAAAAAAAGGCGAAAGGAGTTTATTACCACCAAACCAGCATTGCAAGTAATGCCAAAGGGACTGTTGTAAGAAGAAGAAATAGAGAAAGGAACAGGCATAAAGAATAAAAATGGCAATACATAAGTACCTATCAATAATAATCTTAAATGTAAATGGATTAAGGAGGTCAATGGGGAAGAAAGGGGGACATCTGTAAGACTTCAAACAATAAAAACAAAAGTAAATGTATTAAATGCTCCAATCAAAAGACAGGGTAACTAAATGGGTAAGAAAACATGACCCATATATATGCTGTCTACAAGAGACTGACCTCAGAACAAAAGATGCACAAAGGATGAAAAGTAAAGGGATGAAAAATGTTTCCAAACAATTGTAAACAAAAAAAGGGGGGGTGGGGGTAGCATACTTATATCTGACAAAATAGATTTCAAAACAAAGGCCATGAGAATAGATAAAGAAGGTCACTACATAATACTAAAGGGATCATTCCAACAAGAAGATATAACCCTGGT